CATCATAGATGCATCAAAGATGGATCATTGATGCATCATAGATGAATCATAGATGCATCAATGATCCATCTTTGATGCATCAATGATCCATCTTTGATGCATCTATGATGCATCAATGATCCTGTAATGTAAAAATAACAGCATAGGTCCTCTTTACTATCATAGTTCCCATAGTTTTTAGGGATCAACCGGGGATCAAACCAGCAACCTCCAGATTTAAAAGCAAACACTATAACCACTCGACTATCCATACAATATTATTACGACAATATTATATGGTTTTAGATGGATCTTTCTACAAAGCTGTCGTCTTGCGAGGTGCTCTCTTCCCCTTTGAAAGTCCCCATCAAAGATCTGACCGAGCCGGCGAAAATTCAATCTGCTAGACGAATCAACACGAGATTCGGAACCATGGTGATCGTACTACACGTCACCACATCTGCCGGCGAGGAGAGGGTGACATTTTTACCCTCGAGGTTCACCAGCCTCCTCACAGACGAAGATCTAGAATGTTTCACAAACTCTAAATTGTATAGTGTTAAATGTACGGGGATGGTGGGGAATTCCCCAAATGTGCTTATTTATAAACATTAGTTTTTAGCATGTTGATCAGTAGTAGTAGTGCTCAGTAGTTTTTAACACTTCACTCAATTCTTTATAAATTAGTAATGTGTCTTGCTTGTAGAATAAATATTTGTAACATTATAACTGCGTTTTCAATTCCAAGTGCACCCTCAAAATAAGGGAGGGGGGTATTATATGGTATAATACTAAGCCAGTTCCTCTGGATACAAGTACAATACGATATAATACCTGAACCTGGGGGTGTCCTTCAGACACTCGGACAGTCCCAAACCCTGTCCTAAAGGGTGCACAACAAGTTTTCTATATACTATTTGCTAGGGACATGAAGTTTTTTTCGTTTGGCGAGAAGGTGAGGTTTTTTTTGTTTGGCGGGAAAATAAAAGTGAGGTTATGTAACTTGGCGGGAACCTACGCAATACGTTGTTTGGCGGGAATCGGCGGAGAAGAAGTAAGGTTTTTTTCGTTTAGCGCGAAAGTCACTTGGCGGGAAGGTGATTTTTTCGTTTGGCGCGAAAGTGAGGTTATATTACTTGGCAGGAAGGTGATTTTTTCGTCTGGCGCGAAAATAAATGTGAGGTTATGTTACTTGGCGGGAAGGAGAAGTTTTTTCGTTTAGCACGAAAGTGAGGTTATGTTTCTTGGCGGGAAGGTGAAGTTTTTTTCGTTTGGCGGGAACCTACGTATGCAATACGTAAAGTGAGGTTAGATGTTTGGCGCGAAAACAAAAGTGAGGTTAGACCACGTGGGACACCAGAGGGCGACCACGTGGGACAAAAGGGGGCATGGCCTAGGGGGAAGGGTGGGGATGAAATGCTGCTCTCTGATTGGTGGCCGCAAGAGCTGCTTTTCCTACTCTTGTACTCTCCTAAAGGCCTGCATTGGTTTGTAAACGTAGAAAATAAGGGCGTGGTATCCCGCGGGTGTATTGGTATTGGTCTTATTGTGTGGAGTACCTACTCAAGTTGCCGCCGGCGATAGGCATTGTTGAACTCCCTGCGGAAGTTACAATTGTCAATCAAAAGCAGCGAATTGAAGCTGGTATTGTGCTGCTAAAGATCGTCTACTCGTCTAACGATGCCAATAGAGCTGCTAGCTCACTTGGGACATGAGTTGGTGGTAACTTATAAACATTCGATCATCATTTTTTATCTTTTTGGTTCGTAGTTAAACTTGCAAGACACTCTCTACAGAACAAAAAAATAGTTTATTAGATAACTTACTAAAAGTAAGTTTTTCTTACATTTTAACCAAGGGACCATCATGACGTAGTTTACATTCATTTAAATTATTAGACTTTGATCCAAACTTAGATGTAAATTGTTCTACTGTTCTTAGAAATATTAACCTAGTAACATTTTTTTATTCATATGTGTATTGAAGAGAACCTTCGACCATATCTACTACTCTTTGATGGTCTTTCAGCCATTTTGCTATTATTGTTTCTGATTGTTTTGGGTTGAACATTGAATATTTTCAATTTTAAGAAATGATTGTTTAGCTTCTGTACCTTCTTAAATATATTGTAGAAAATGTAATACATTTTTTTCATCAATGACCACATGTTTCAAAGATCCTGTAAAGACTAATAAATGAAGATCTCTCAACCTGAAAACCTAATCAATATTCATTTAAAAAACGTATCAACAACTTCCATCAATTCCTGTAACCAAAATTAATTAATGAATGCTTTTAGGTTGTCAACCCAACCACAAATTACTTTCTCAGACGTCTACACGATGAGAGGCTATTTAATCAGCTGCAGGAAGGGTGTTTTTACATCATTCAAGCAATTAGCCTAACAGCTTGGTTACCCGAACACCTGTGGTCAGGTGATATGTGGAGGCAAAAACCCTTACAACCCCCAAACCCAAACCTTCCAAAAACCGTTGGTAACTTTGCTGTTGTTTTAAAATTATACTGCCAATTCACATACATAGGTTACAATAAGATATAAAAATAAGAAATAAATTTCGTGATTTACTCTTTGGGTCATGTTTATGTCATATTCACTCAAAGTTTTATAAAACTGTAGTAACATAAAACTGTTACTATTAAATATTGATAAGACACTTTGTTTTGGACATTTTCTTATCAAGTTGTAATTTTTTTATGGTTTTCTTTCAATGAAAAATATTGTTAAAAAACGTCACATTTGTCATAGTTTAAACTATGTTTTTTTTATTTTCCACGCGCTTATATACAAAAATATTCCCGTTCTATCAAGCAAAAACAGTATACAAAAAACATTTTTACAGCTATAATTATATTTCATACTTGTTAGTTACTTTTGCTTTTTGTCATCACATTTTTGTAACTTCTCAACTTAATAATCCTCTGATCTTAGTAATGGAAATGTTAATAATAAAATATTTGGTAGATAGCAATATTGGATTTTTCTTTGTTTGAAGTTCATTGTTGGTGATGGTGAGTTAATGTTGTTCAAAGGTTTATTGCGGACATTTTGATTTTGATTTTGATTGGATTTTTATGTGAATCCTGCTTTATGGCAAATTAATTCCGACGGTAAAACTTTGTTGTCAATGCTTTTGCAAAGATTTAAACCACCTCGTCGTCTCCTTTTTAAATACGCTCCCTTCCGACAATTTCTTGAATTCCTACAATGCCATTTACATACTGAAAGGTACGATTCGAAATAACTCTCGAAACGTTACGAAGCGATTTAAACGTCACCTGCGGTTTCTTTGCGAGTTGACGATTTGACTTGTAAATCTAGTGCCGAGGGACTCCCTATACTCCTGTGGGGAGCGGTTAGGGGCGCTTTTTGGGGGAGGTAATGTATGAAATGCTCAGTCCCTTAGCTTAAGTCAACAGTTGCCGTTGAGAGGACCAAATTGATTGAGGGATTGCTATTGTCCCCGCCCCAAGTCTCAAGTCAGTTTTCCCCCAGAATCTACCGTTTTCCACGGGCGTTGTTTTGAGCACGTGAGTGGAAAATGTACAACATATTCTATTAGCTTCAATTTTCAGTTTGTTTTCAGATAGATACATTTGTTCCGACAATATTTACAACACAACAAACAACAACAATATTTTAGTTGTAGTTGTACTGACGTTTTCCAGTTATGTAACCCTGCATTTTGTAAAAAGATATTCTTGATTTCTGAACAATTATTATGTGTTATAGTTGTTCTATTGTATTACTGTTAATTTCAAACAATGTTAGCTTTTATATTTAAGTTAATTTACCTTAAAAATCGCAAAAACCACAAAACAATTCAGGTTATTTTTGCATACTAGCCTACTACGTGATTATGTTTTGTTACATTGAATTGTTAATACTTTACACCCGAGTTTTATAGTTCCTCTTATTTGAAATATTGCTTAACACTTTATAATAAATATTTTTGTACTGGTCAGCTTTACAATTAATTAATATCCATTATTTCAAACCGGCTAAATTATGTTATTTACGTAATCTTTGCAAAGATCTTCCTCCAAAAATTTGGGTTTTTACTATTCGTGATGAAAAATATCCGCAAAAGATACTTACACAATTAACATAAATTACCGTCATCAAAAGTGCACTTCAAAACGAAGAGCTGATTAACTATTTTGTAATTTTTGGTAAAATAGCGTTTAATCAATTCTAAAAATCTGGCAATTTCCGGAGGGTTATCTTAAAACAATTATATAATCGTTGCAAACGGAATTTATTGTGCAATCGACGCCGTGTCTCTTATGTTAGCAATACCAGCAAAACTCTTAAACAGGTGATTTGCATGACAATCATTGTTTGGTATAATAAGAAAAATATGTACATAGAATGAAATTAATCAGTCTTAATTAGGCTAATTTTTAAAGTGCTAAACAATGTTGAATTGCTGTCACAGACCTTAGTGAAGCTGAAGAGATGTTTGGTTTGGGGTACCCCACCTGACTTGAAGCACTGGGCAATGGCGGCGTCGACGAGGACTGTCCATGTACACGTTGACCTACTTGCACTATTACAATTGTCCGTTAAATAAACAAAAAATAATTTCTTCTTGGGATAAAAACAAAACTATTGTCACTTCTATTAGCACTGTACAGACTGATTAATTTAAAGAAAAAAAAGGTAAAAATTGCGGGATGTTGAAAAGATGATGCGGATATACGATAGTAAATATGGTGATAGTTCAGCGGCGGACGACAGTGGACTGCGTCGTTTGGAAAGATATCAGTGTTGAGGGCAAAGGCCGCATACCTTCGTTAGCGGCTGAATAGCGGAAAATTACTTGGGCTAGGTTTTGTTTGAAACGGAAGAATATAAATATGGACTCGATTTAAAAATCATGAAACCTAAAATATCCAACATATCGCCCCCCTTGAACCAACCTGGTTCAATGAAAAAACTGAAAAATGGGAAAAGACAAATGAAAATAAATTGAAAGGGGGTGAAAGGGAATGCTTAGGAATTAATTGGTAGGAAGAAGGGAAACTTTGACGGTTGGCCGACTGAAGTTCCCTGTAGCGGTGCGTAGATGGACCACTCGTACAATTCCGTCTGCTCCTGGAGATACTGCGGTGATTCTTGCAAGTTTCCATTGTAGGGGAGGAGTGTTAGGCTCATGAATAACAACAAGGTCACCAATCTTGAGGTTCTCTGTTTTACTCGTCCACTTAGAGTGATGCTGTAGAGTATGCAGATACTCTTGGGACCATCGAGTCCAGATGTGTTGAGAGAATGCCTGAACTAATTGCCATCTCCTCAAGCGGTTACAAGAAGTTTCATCATATTGAGGTTCAACCATGGATTTCAGAGGTCCACCAGTTAAAAAGTGTCCTGGGGTTAGAGACTCTAAGTCATTCGGATCTCCAGAGAGAGGGGTAAGCGGTCTTGAATTTAATATTGCTTCGACACGTGACACGAGAGTTATGAATTCTTCATAAGTCAGGATTTGGCCACCGATTACTCTATGAAGGTGATGCTTAGCACTCCTAACAGCTCGTTCCCACAAGCCACCTTGATGAGGCGCGTGTGGAGGCAGAAATTTGAAAGAAATGTTGTTTTCTTCAGCAAAACGGTGAGTTACTGGATTGCAAAGGAGGTTGTTAAAACATTTGTGAAGTGCAGCAGCTGCTCCGACAAAGTTGGTTCCACAATCACTATGAATTTCCTTCACTGAACCACGTCTGGAAATAAAACGTGTAAGAGCTGCTATATAAGCTTCTGAGGACAAATCCGACACAACTTCTAAGTGTACGGCTTTCGTTGCAAAGCAGACAAATAGACAAAGATAAACTTTAATAGGCTGAAGCCTTTTTAGGACATACAATTTCACTGTAAATGGTCCGGCATAGTCGACTCCAGTAACATTAAAAGGTCGGGTTGCTACCACTCTTGGGGAAGGTAAGTCTCCCATCAATGGTGTGTTTGGCTTAGGTTTCATTCTGAAACATCTCAGGCGTTTAAAAATCCTGGAGCGTATGATACTACGAGCAGAAAGTATCCAATATTTCTCACGAAGAACAGCTTGGAGTTGTGTTGGTCCACAGTGAAGAAAGATGCGATGATGATAATCAATTATCAAATTTACAACAAAATGATCCTTTGGTAAGATAATTTGATGCTTGGCGCTGTACGGCAACTCAGAATGTTTCAGTCGTCCTCCAACTCTTAACAAACCTTCATCATCCATAAACGGTGAAAGGCGTTGAATGCGAGAAGAACACACATTCTTCTTTGACAGGGAATTAATATCCTCAGAGAAACTCTCTCTTTGAACAAGCCAACAAATCCGTTTGTTCGATACTTCTAACTCTTCAAGTGTGAGAGAATGAGTAATCCTTTGCTTAGTTTTCAAGCAGGAAATAAAACGTAAAACGTAGCCCATGACATGAAGTAGTTTAGTCCATGAAGAGAATTTATTGATAAACTTCAGATCTTGATCTTCAGCTATCGTAAGAAGATTTAGTGTTGTGGTTTTAATTTCTGGGAGTTCCTCTTCGGGAAGATGACTCGATGGTTGAGGCCATGAATCAGATGAACTCTTAAGCCATGTGGGTCCAGACCACCAGAGCTTGTTATGAATAAGAAGAGATGGGGTTAATCCTCTAGAGGCAACATCAGCGGGGTTTTCAAGAGTAGAAATGTGTTTCCATATGCAGGAAGGGGTCAATTCTTGAATCTGTGCAACACGATTTGCAACATATAACTTCAAACGATGAGAAGGGGTGTGAATCCATGAAAGAGCCACAGTGGAGTCACTCCAAGCGGTAACAGAATCTATCTTGTAGCGATCTGAGAGTTGATCAACACAGTAGTGTAACAGTTTGGCTAAAATATGTGCTCCGCACAGTTCAAGGCGAGGAATCGTGATACGTTTCAGGGGTGCCACACGTGACTTGGCTATTAATAAGTTGACATATATACTGCCTTGCGGGTTCTCAGTTCGTAGATAAACACATCCAGCAAAACCGAGTTCACTTGCATCTGAAAATCCATGCAACTGAATATTAACCGCATCACTCAGAGATATGTACCTGCCAATCTCCAAATTTTCAATCTCAGGAAGTTCGTTGACAAAAGTTGACCATCTGTCGATAATATCACTAGGAAGAGTATTATCCCAATCTAGGCCTAGTGACCATATATGCTGCATGAGAGCCTTAGCCCAAAAAATAACAGGGGTAAGCATGCCTGTTACATCATAAATCTTAGCGATGGAAGACAAAATTGCTCTTTTGGTAAAAATCAATGGAGCTTCAGAAATTGCATATGAGAATGTGTCTGAGTGTGGATTCCACTTCAGTCCAAGAATACTAACACAAGGTGAGTCAGTTGATAAGCAGTGTTGAGGGGGTAAATTTTTCAATATTTGGCTATTGTTAGACGCCCATTTGCGAAGTTCAAAGCCTCCTTTTCGTAAAAGGTTTATTACATCTTGCTGTAATTTTGCAGCTTCTTCAACAGTATCGCTGCCTAGTAGCGCATCGTCTACGTAAATTTGTCGTTTAAGTGCATGAGCAGCAAGTTCATGATTCTTTCCTTCATCATGAATTAATTGTTGTATTACTCGATTAGCCAAAAATGGCGAAGAAGTCATACCATAAGTAACGGTTGTCAACTGAAAAACTCGAAGCGGCTGTGACATTTCTTCTCTCCAATAGATGAGTTGAAAACGTTGGTCTTGTTCATGAATAGAGATCATACGGAACATCTGTTTGATATCACAAGCAAAGGCGATCCTATTTTGACGAAAACGTAGAATTATGTCTGTTATTTAATTATGTAACTTGGGTCCTTGATGCTGTAGACTGTTAAGTGTTACACCAGTTGAAGTTTGAGAGGACGCATTAAATACAACACGTATCTTTCCATCCTTAAAGACACCGTGGTGTGGTAAGAAGCAATGATATTGGTTATTTAGATCAAATAAGTTTGAGGGTTTCATTTGACCAGAGGATTCGTAGTCATTCATAAATTCAATGTACTTTTCTTTGAAATCAGGTTGCGATTGAAACTTACGTTCAAGCGATTTGAAAGTTTGTAAAGCAACTGTAGAAGAATTTCCTAGTTTTACTGGATTTTCTTTGAACGGTAAACAACAAACATATCTTCCCGTCTCGTCACGAGAGTGAGTTTTCAAAAAATGATCTTCACATTCCATTTCCTCTGGGGATAGCTTAGAACAAGCAGGTGGTTCTTCCAATGCCCAAAATCGCTGAAGTGTTTCATGAAGTGTAAGATCATTGATGGAAAGTAAAGTCGTCAATCCACTGAAGGTTTGGCCGTCTTGTGAAGTAGGCACGTTCCCAAGGACAACATATCCAAAAATAGTGTTTATAGTGTATGGCATACGATCACCAAGACTGGTGGCAGATCCAATAATAGTTTGAGCAAACAGATCCGCACCGATGAGCAAATGTCCAGGAGTGTCGAAGTTGGGATCGGCAAGTGCGTATTCTTTGATTTGAGCCTTTATTTCAGAAGATATCTTGACACTAGGCATATCATTGGTAATTCTATCAAGTATGAGGACAGGATGTGCCGTAGCAAGTGTTTTCCCGTTAAGCGAAGAAATATTTACAAAGGAAAGTCCCTTAGGCTTTATTCGAGCTGAGGCAATGCCCTTTATCTCGTGAACGCCAACAGACGAACGCTGAATGTGAATCATACTGGCACAGTGTTCAGATATTATACTCGTTTGTGATGCACTATCAAGCACAGCTCGGACAATAATATTATGACCATTCGAGGTAGAAATTTTTACCAATGCAGTGGCAAGAAGTACAGTACAGTTGTGGCTGGCAGCACCAGTGTCTACATGAGCAGAGAGTGTATTTGATTCAAATCCTTGCGGTACAGGAGCCTTCAATTGTGTTGTGGAATTGGCCTGAGTCTTATTCGAGGGCTTAACAGATTTTTTCATTATAGGCTGGTCCGTTTTGTAAAAATGCAGTAGCGTATGGTGTCGCTTAAAACAAACTCGACACGAACTGGATGACTTACATGAGCCTAAGAAATGTCGTCCTAAACAATTAACACATAGGCTATTGTTCTTAATGAAGTTGAACCTATCGTGTGGTGATAAGGCACCAAAAACATCACAGCGAAAAATGTTATGCGATGCTCCATTGCAGTAAGCACAAGTATGAGCTTGTTCATTGTCATTAGAAGAAAGCATTACAACTTTGCTTGGCTTGGGACTAGCGGTTTGCCTACCTAGATAAGGCATGTTCTTACTACTTCCATAGTTTTTTAACTGAAGGGAAGAATTAGCATGTGAGGTCGAGCCTAAGTTAGCCGCCTCTCTGTAAGAACACTCATTTTCCAGAAAGTTTATTATTTCTGTGACAGAAGGAACCTGTTTTGAGTCATCTCGTTTTTGTTCAAAATCTGAACGCATAGCGGAATCAAGCTTTCTCAAAATATGTGTACTTAAGATCAGGTTGTCATCAGTTATGTTATGGCCAAGTGCTTTAAGAGCTTGCTGATTTCCATTAAAAATTGAAATAAAATTCCTAAGTTGTGTAACATTAGGCTTAGTAAGCTGCGGTAGGTCCAAGATGTTAGTAGAATGTAATGAAATCAAGAGCCTTGTATTGTGGTACCTCTTAAGCAGGGTTTGCCAAGCAATTACATAATTAGCACTATTTAGTGGTATAGACTTAACTAAGTTCAAAGGTTCATCTGAAAGACAGCTTATGAGATATGAGAATTTCTCAACATTAGAAATTGTTTTATTATTATGTAAAGTACTTTCAAACAGGCCATGAAATGAGACCCATTGCTCAGGATTGCCAGAGAATGTTGGCAGTTTGATTTGCGGCAATTTCACAGTCAGATTAACTGTAGGAGTAGTAGGGCCTACCTCGGAAGTAGAGTCATTTAGGCGTGACTCTTCAAGTTTAACTGGTGGAAGTAACAAACTACAGTTTGACTGAATCTCAACAAAATAATCAGAAATTTTTTCTTGCAGTGAAGTAATTTTATCATCTTAAATATCTTCAGGAGTGGGAGTAGGATCATCAATGATCAAAGATGGATCATTGATGCATCAAAGATGGATCATTGATGCATCATAGATGAATCATAGATGCATCAAAGATGGATCATTGATGCATCATAGATGCATCAAAGATGGATCATTCATTGATGCATCTATGATGCATCTATGATTCATCTATGATGCATCAATGATCCATCTTTGATGCATCTATGATGCATCAATGATCCATCTTTTAAAGCATCTACGATGCATCTATGATTCATCTATGATGCATCAATGATCCATCTTTGATGCATCTATGATGCATCTATGATTCATCTATGATGCATCAATGATCCATCTTTGATTCATCTATGTTCCATCTATGATGCATCTTTGATGCATCTATGTTCCATCTATGATGCATCTATGCGCCATCTATGATGCATCTTTGATCCATATATGATGCATCTATGTTCCATTTTTGATGCATCTATGCACTATCTATGATGCGATTCGTCTATGATGCATCAATGATCCATCTTTGATTCATCTATGATGCATCAATGATCCATCTTTGATGCATCTATGATTCATCTATGATGCATCAATGATCCATCTTTGATGCATCTATGATGCATCTATGATTCATCTATGATGCATCAATGATCCATCTTTGATGCATCTATGATGCATCAATGATCCATCTTTGATGCATCATAGATGCATCATAGATGCATCAAAGATGGATCATTTATGCATCATAGATGCATCATAGATGGATCATTGATGCATCATAGATGCATCAAAGATGGATCATTGATGCATCATAAATGAATCATAGATGCATCATAGATGCATCAATGATCCATCAATATGTGATCAAATCGCAATCAAATACCATCGAAGTCTTCGCCGCAGTCCTTGGAGACCGGGGAATTGTCAATTCTTTTTCATCTTTCTTCTTGCTAGCTTCTTGATTGTGTGTAGTGTTGTAGTGTGGGTGAATGTGTGATTTGTATTATGAGTGTTATTTTGTAGGAAATTTATGTTCTTCTAGATATTCTGTAATTGTGTAATAAGGTCGATTTAAGAGGTATTGTTTCAGCTGTTTTTTGCAGTTAGAGAGCAAGTTTATGTCTTTTAGTTTGTTGGGTAAGATGTTGTATAGTTTTATTCCCATGTAATTTGGTGTTTTGCTGGTTTTCGTTAGTCTGTGTTGGTTTAGATTGAAGTTTGATTTTACTCTGAGGTTGTGTTCGTGACAGTTTATTCTGAGTTGAGGTGGGTTTGATTTGATAAAGAGGATGGTTTCGTAAAGATATAAGGATGTTAAGGTGAGGATCTGGTTTTTGACAAAGAGAGGTTTACAGTGTTCTTCCCGATCAACTTGTTCCAGGATTCTGATGGCTTTTTTCTGTTGTACTAGTATTTTTTTCAGGTCGGTTTCATTGGCAGAGCCCCATGCAATTATGCCATATCTAATGTGTGAGTAGAAGAGAGCGTGGTATGCCGTTTTGCAGATCTCTTTGTTTGTGATTTTCCTGATTCTCCTTTGTAACAGTTTGACTAATTTGACCAACTGCCAGCAAGTTTGCTCCAGACTAGCTCAATGGGCGGGGTGCGATGTGTCTTAGGCCAGTGAGGTGTTACACTACGATGGATAGTATTTAATTGAAAGGGCGCCACCTTGTGATATGGGCAAGTTGACTGTCGATTGTCACAAGGAACCAATCTCCCAGTAGTGTTGCCTATAGTTGTGGTAAGCAGGGTAAACCTAACACCTGTGATGTCAATTGACCATACTCTACATTGACTTGAGTTGCCCTAACCATTTACCTAATCGATAAATACCTAAATTTTATTTGTCACCAACTTACCCAAAATACTTAAGAACTATAGTAGCTATAGAGATTTGCTATACTAATTAGACCCAAATAGAAACTAACTGGACTATCAAATAAAAATCCAAATGTGTCTGATAAGCTCTATTTATCTCAAGATACGAATGCCCTGATAACAAATCAAGTTGAAGTTTATACAGTTAAATGAGCAAATGTAATTTAAATCAACATCAGTTTCAAAAGCAATATGAGAACAGTACTTAATAATTAAATTTTCTAATCAATAATCCGTAATCAATAGTCAAGAATCAATAATCAATATTCAGAGATAATCCGAATTATTAATCTGAAATCAATAATCAATAATCGGCACTCAATAATCAATAATAATCAATTTACCATAATCATAAAAATTCAATATTCAAAATCAATATTCAGCAATAATTAATAAGTAACCCTTAATCAATAATCAATAATAATCCCTCAAACAGGATCCATCTTAAATCTACAAAATGGTACATAATGACGGTGGCCACCGGAACACCTATAACAGACAACATACAAAGCACAAAATATTACAATATACAACGATACAAATAGATCCGTAGGTCCTGGCTGTCCCACGACGATTCACTAGCCACTGTCCAAGTGTCCGTTGCACAGGAGATAAATAATCGTAAAGTCACTCACCAAATGTAGACTTCTCATTCAGTCCACATGGCTTACATCTCAACCCGCTTAATCTGAATAAACCAATGTAATAAACAACCCCTACAGTGAACGTGACCACCCCATAGAGGCTGCATTAAATGGGATTGTATTATGATGATTTTATTTCAGTTTTAAAGGAAGTATTGCAAAGAAATATTTAATTTGGTTTTTTTATTAATAGTTTTTCAAGGTTAATTGTTGCTGTAAGTGAGACACTTTGTATGTTAGGTTTCTACAAATAAGATGTTTTCCGTGCGATTTGTAAAATAAGTTATGCAGGCGTTTTGCTAAGACAGTAGTTTATTTAAATGTTGAAATAACACCTATTTAAACTTCTTAAATGTCTTGGATGAGTAATCTGGAACCAAGAACTTTTCATTTCGTTGTAATATGTATTTAATGTGAAATTATACTACACACTCTTTGTACATTTTTCAAGCAATTTAGCACGCTTTTTTAATCACAAAAAATCATTCATAAATATAATTTTTCGTTTTTAAACACTTACTTGTCCATGCACGTTACTTATTAATTTACAATTTATTTTTTACCTATTCACTTAAAAAATACGTTTCAATAGAAAGTGTTTACTTTATCACACTTTCTAGTATTTATTTCTAGTACTTATGTAGTATTATCAACATAAACAAATGTCCTCCTTTGAAAAACAAAGTTATAATTTTTTCTTTGTTTTGGACATAAATGTGTGACCTTACTTCACATCAAATTGTCCTGATATCATAAATGTATTGGAGCAAATGTCTATGTCGATAAATTCTAGTAAGTTTTTTATTTCACATAAACAGCAACGTAAATATAATTTTATTGCTGTACACCCGGAGTTTTTTTAGCCAAATTTACTTCTACAGCTTAAATATGAGCTTTAGTCACGCCTTAGCAATGTAGGAAGCCAAAAGGCACAATGAGAATATAATTGGACTCAGTAATGATGACATACTTGACATTGGCGCTACTATGCCAAGACCGGGCTTACTGGTAATGTGTATAATAAAGTACTGTTAAAGAGTCATATTCTTTGAGCCAACTATAGTACTCAGACTAAATTGCATATAACAAATTAAAGGTTATAATCTTAATAATACAATACAGTACTTAATGAGGAATAAATCGGACGGAATGAGTTTCATTATATGATTATTGTTCATTAAGGTATATATTCTGTACACATTGTGAGGAAATAGTACAGTTTTACAAATTATTTGCTGATCATTGAAAATTCTCGAATAGTTTTTTCGTCTTTCATGTTGCTAGTTATTGACCTGAGAAGGACAAATGTTTGTCTTTTGTTAAGACAATACAAAACTATGTCTGTCTACATCTCTAATACTGAATAGAACAATGCATCCAAATGATGACCTCCTCTGGAGTTGGCATTGGGGAAATATGACCGAATAAATAAACGAAGCAAACATTAACAGACGCATGGACAGTTAACAGCATGGGCCGTTAATTTTACAGATAATCAAAATTTTCGTCAATTTATATTATTCCAACAGCCTTTCATGGTCTAGTTATTTTAAATGTTGAAGCCCCTTCCCTAGTTAGTGTTCAAAGGTTTGCCTTGCACAATATTTCAAAACTCTATAAGTCATTGATCTTGTTTGTAGAAAATAAAGAGTTTTTAGTGTTTTTTGTCCCTATGCATAAATCTTTTTGTAACAAACTTGAAATCCTTTATAGTTCGAACCTCCAAAGCTAAAAGATACTGGTGGAAATTCTGATGGGTGGAACAAGCCTGATATGTACAGTGAAGCTTATCATCTATTCGCCCAAATAACATTGACTCCACAAATATTGTTCCAATTAAAAACTTATTTATAAATTCAATATTATAATTGCAACGTCACGGCTGGTTATCAAGAATGTGGTTTTTGTGTGTAGTTTACAGTAGTACTGCATATTTTCTATTATTTATACAGAAAATCAATAGTGTTTGGGTTAGCATGCCTCTTACAAATGACACCGTAGTAAAATGAAACTATTATTTTTAAAATGATCCTTCGAACCCGTAATATATTAATTTAAAAAAGTATGATTCTATATTAAAAATTAACGGTATTCGTTTTTTTGTAGTTTTTTTGTTGTTTTAAAATTCAGGTATGAATTTTATGGGAAACTTGATTAAGGAGCAAAGTCAGGATGCTTCATGAGCCTTATCATTATACATTATTGGATTATATTTGTACCTGTTACGATTTTTGTAAACATTATAATAACTTTACATTTTATCTTCTTGTTTACATATTGTGTTAAACCCAACATCTCTTCTGTAAGTTCTGTCCCAACATTCTCTATGTAAAAGAAAACCAGTATTACAAGTAGCCACTTTACCTATAGGTCATAGTCCTAGATCATAATCAATCAAACATGAGAGAAAAATTATATTCGCTAAAAATTCAACTTCCTTCGATTTTAACCGTACAATTTTATAGATTAGATGGAAATCTAATACGAATAATTATTAAAATAACTTAAGAGTACAGGGTGTCCACAATATCTTATAAACGATTATATAGTTTTCGATGATGGAAACATGCTTAAATTACAATTTATTTCATAAATAATATTTATGAATAATATTTTCTCGTAATATTTCAAAAATAATATTATTCTTGCCTACAATTTATTGGTAAATCGATCTATAAAATTTAACCTTATAGAAAATATTTTTTAATAAAAGTTTATTCATAATACAAAGTTCATGTAAAGTGTCCTGTCTACGTCATAATGTGAAAACTAAATAGTTTCCGGTGAATGGAGAAATGAACTACCCCAAGTATAAACAAAAAAAGGACGCGTTGCAGCACTTAACCCTTATTTTGGCAATAAATAACTAGGGATGGGTAAATTCTAAAGAAATCTGAAAACGATAATCATCACTCTTTAACCATCAATTTACCACGGCTTAGGAAGCGTATACTTTTAGTAAAAGGGGTTAGCTTGATCTAGCTAAATAAATAAGATTTAGTTACGAACTAGGCAATTTATATTGCAATGATGACCTAAACGGTGTATTTCTATTTCATAAGTGTTTTTATAAATGTAAACAAATAAATTATAATGCTGGATATTACACGGAACAGGATCAAACTCGGCATTCCTAGAAAACTTTATCGTTTTATATTCTAAATAAAAAGTGGAAGTAGTTTTTCTTTTGCGTATCTTTGAAAGCATTAGGCTAATTACAACTTTCATATTCTTCAGAATCAAAGATTGGTCTATATACTAATACGTTGTTTTCAATTATTAAAAAAGATTTAAGAATTTCGGGTTTAAATTCAATGGTGGAAATGCATAAGTTCCATAGCTTAATGAAAAAAACCATACATCAATGTTTACAATTACTTATTGGAATTAACAGTAAAATAAAATAAATATAATTTTTATTATGACAATAATTTTTGTGATAATGTTTACCTCACTGGTAAAGTAAATAAATGATTTTTTTTTATGACATTGAATATGTTTCTTTACGAAAAAACGTGCCTAAATTAACTCACAGTTTACCCTCAGTTGTAAAAAACAGGATTGTCTGGTGTGGGATTATTCTTGGAAAGCAAATACAGGATGACGTTTGACAACTTTACTTTCAGGGTCGTTTATTTTATGTGCAGTTGGTATAAACAGGTGTTTTTTTTTACTCTCAAAAGTATGCACGTTCAATTTGTAAAAAAATACTAGTTAAGTTACAATTACCTCAAGATTTAAGTTTTATTGCAAGAAAAGCAACAAGGATAACGGTTTTGGCATTATTTCGTTGGAATTTAGCAATTATACGAGTAGTTGTTATTAGCTACCATTTACTATCGTGAAGATATTAACTTTAGGGCTGCCTTATTTTATAATAATGATTTTAATGTATTATAATGTCAATCAATAGAATACGTAACTTATTAATGTTACTATTGTGCATGATTACATTATTACATTATTGTCGTAAAACTTACATTTAAACGTTTTCAGGTGATTGCAATTGTTAACCTAAATGATCAGTTAACAGCAGAACCAGGGTGTGTAAGAGATTGTGAGTAATTTTATTGATATATTTAAAATATGTACCACTACTTAACTTTTGTCACCATAACACATAACGTTTCAACTTACGTGTTGTGCGAACTATTCTTGATATCGTCTTTGACTATTAATACAACACTGACTTCTGCCGATTACATGATGGTTTTTACCAAGTAAAACTGATGGAATGACTTATTATGAGCTATAGCAACTGTTGTGACCCAGCAACTATGTCAGTAACAAAAAATAAGGTACAAAATAGATTTTTAGACACTAGCGCAATCTGTGAATGGCTCACACAACTACATTCTTTTTTAGTAAAAAATTGGCGACAGCTGATCCATATGAATGGGATATCTTCTTCTGTATCCAATAGTCAATGATATCGTATAGCATAATCTGCATGATTCGATGACATCATGTGTACATTTTTCTTTGAAGTTAAAATTCTTTAGTTAGACGACAAATAGTTTAATAAATTCTGTTACAGCCGTTTGCGTAAACTGTATCGCTCTTGAAGTGATTTCACCTTATTTAATAAAACATATAATTAGTGCATTTATAACAGTTTTGATGTTATGAACCTTCGTAGCCTTCGTTTGGGGTTGTAAATAACTTTATATTTATGCTAATTTTAACGTGTTTTATTTATTTATTTATTTATTTATTTATTTATTTATTTATTTATTTATTTATTTATTTATTTATTTATTTATTTATTTATTTATTTATTCATATTATACAATATAAAGGCAAAACTTGTAATAAATAATGATATTTACAAGAACGTTGAGTTTATAACTAAGCTAACAATTAGATAGGTCATTTTACTAAATATTTATTACATTTGACTCATTCTAAATTTTCAGCAACCGCCGATGATACCTGGTGCAGCATTATCTTTGGGTGCTTGAAAGTATTTGTGGCCATAGGACTACTATATGGCGTGTATACGGTAAGAAATGTCTTAGTTACTCATTTGTCATTTGTTACTCAATACCTGTTTTCGTTAGTTCTGCTGCTCACCTGCAGTACCACCTAATGTGGACTCTCAAAAAATACACTGCTTGCGTTTTTACATATCACAGTAAACAAAATTTTGGAATAAATTTCTGTAGACATTTAGTGCGATCGCCAGCGGGAAATTCGCCTTGCAGTAGTTGATACGACTCCTGTGGAGGGCGTATCGGTTCGGTAGTGGATGTACAGGTGACGAGCCGTAAGCACTTTTCGTGTGCCTGCAAGTCTACGTTGTACCTGCATTGAAAGATGACATTTCATTAACAGTGTGAGAACATTAAGTTCTGTGCTTCACCTAAAAGAAAAACCACCTAGTGAAACTATTGAATTGTTAATTCATGCTTTATTGTTGAAGAGGCGATGAAGAAAAGTCGAGTTTATGAGTGGCACAAACGGTTTCGTGAAGGCCGTGAAAGCATTGACGATGTCCCTAGTCGTGGACGTCCTTCAACATCAGTCAATGACGTAAACATTATTGGACGTAAACATTATTGGACGTAAACATTATTGGACGTAAACATTATTGGACGTAAACATTATTGAGCGAGTACGTCGAGAAATGGGCGATGCATATCCATAGTTGTTTGATTAATTGTACAAAATTGTAGGTAGTGACGAAACAGGGTGTTATATCTACGACTCTCCAAGTTTGGTTAGGAAAAATTCATCTTTATTGGACTTAAAATTTAAAATGGTGGCCATTTAAATTTTTTAAACTTTAATTACTGAAAAATGGCTGGTGTTATAAAAAGGTTTCAATGATACTTTTATTTAGAATATTTAATTCCCTATCAAACGATACCAATTTTAAGAAGATCGAAGAAGAAATAGCTAAAATATTACGATTTTTAGTTGTAAAATGGGGTAGAAAAAGGCTAAGCTAGTCAGTTTTGCCCCATTTTACAACTAAAAATTCTAATATTTCAGCTATTTCTTATTCGATCTTCTTGAACTTGAGATCGTTTGATTGTGAATTAAAAATGCTAAATAAAAGTATTCTTAATGAAATGTATAATTTAATTTACAAGTTCAACAAGGCCAATAAATAATTTTTTTTTTATTTATGTAAATTTAATTATACATTTCATTATTAATTGCCAATATCTCCAATATAATTTATAAAAGTATTCTTGAAATTTTTTCATAAACTTAGCCATTTTTTGTAATTTAAGTTTAAAAAATTAAAATGGCCATTTTTAAATTTTAAGTCGAATCAAGATAAATTCTATTCCTAACAAGGGTCTCTTCTACCTTAACATAAATACCAAGTTTCATAAAGATCGGTTGAAAAAATTCCAAAATAAAAATGTTTATGTAAAAAATATAAAATGGCAGAAATCTGGTTAACAAAGCGATTTTGGAAAAAATTGTTGTTCTTGATTTTCTCTTTATTTTGACCCAAGGAATCACTACGTAAAATATGTCCCCACCTTTTTTGAACACCCTGTATTTATTGTTACATTCATTGCATCATATAAATGTTCTTATATTTATTTTTGACCCCGTTAGACGTATGAAATTATTTAACAAGAAAACTTACAGTATAAATATGAAGTTACACGAATTTATGAAGTACAAACCAAATTTTTTACCTGGGTTAAAGTGTTTGCATAAATATTATTTTAATACATCTGAAATATTTCCAGTACGACAGAACAACCGTACACTTTTACGTCTTTCTACATGCAACATTGATTGCCAGTAAAATTATCATGTTGATTGTTCTGCTCTTCTACGCATCCTTCAGCTTTCGTATTATCTTGTGTAGTGAAATATGTGAGTATCAATAAAAAAATATCCCTTTCATTCAGTATCGATAGATAGTATCATAGGCATACATATCGATCATATATTTTTCATCTTAAAAGCTACTCAACATTTAGGAAAATGTAAAGGGAAAATGTTATAAGGTTTTGAAATTGTATCAGGTGTTTGATTTAGGATGTTGCGTGAAAGATTTAGAAAAAAATGTTAACGTTTATGAATATAAAAAATCATGCTTTGTTCAAAGATAAAGATTTTCGGGACACAGATTCATGAACAATCGTAATTAATTCTCCAATAATCTCTGCCTTCAATATTGTTTTTAAAATACCCTTATTTTGAAATATTAAGCCTTTTGATTAAGGATTTGCCCTTCAAATTTTGTTTGTGGATTTATACAAAAAAATCTTTGGAGTATTTTCGGTCTATAAGGCTAGCCTAACCAGTTTTAAAGATTTTGTTGAATACTTCCCCAAGCTTTAAATAACTAAAATTAGGTTAATAATGTTAACCTAATAATGGTAATCCATATATATATATTATGGCTGATAATCTAAAGGCTTTAGAAATAACGAAGTGTCTAAATTGCTTATTGCATCTTTTGTTTAGCTAATTGAATTATACTTCAAACCTTTACTTAGCTTACCTTGAATGTGAACAGAATACTCTAGGTTTTGAATTGTGTGTATTGCTAACAATGTTGTTCAAATTTGATTTCAGTTACAAGTATATATGTGGTTGTCGTGGTCTACAGCTTCTACAAGGAAATGGAAGAACACGAAGCTGAACCGTGACCTTATCTGTAGGCCTATACTATGGATGGTTTTGAGATATTTGGTTGCATATTGATCATCCTCTACAATTATGACCTACAATATAAAATCCACAACTTATTGAGACCTAATAAATCAAATGTTTTCCTTTCTACACTGAATCAGAGTATTAATAAAGTTTTTGTTAAGTGGTAATATTCCACCTTTAAGTGTTTAAAATGTCTCATCTTCCAGGAATTACGTTTTTTGTACATTTATAGATGTATGTAAAATGAAAACCACATTAAAGCCTCAGCAATTGTTATCGGTTAAAGGTTTTATTGTTAACTAAAATAACCCAGTTCAAACATACAAATTTCATACATTTGGGTGATAAGAATAGACCCTCGGTGTCTAATACACACTTTTAGGAAACATTTCTAATATATATATGTTTATAATTTTTTTTTGTATGAATTATTTTCAGAAATAATAATAATAATAAAGATAAAACTTATAACTGTAGTAATCAACTTATAGTTATATGCACAATCGATTCGTTTAGTCTTTTATCACAGCAGCTTGTTTTGTATAAAGTAAAGTGTGTGTTTTTTTTTTATTTATGATCAAATTAAGCCTTGTACGCCAGAAATTACGCCTTGCAATTTCCTTGACGGAAATTCGCCTTGCAGTAGTTGGTACGACTCCTGTGGAGGGCATATCGGTTCAGTAGTGGATGTACAGGTGATTTGTATGTAATTTAAAAATGTAAATTGAGGAAATATAATTCATGAAGGTATATATTAATTAATTAGATAATTATTTTTGATAAAGGAAAATTTAGTATGTTAATGAGAAAGTTCTTGGATATTATTAGTTGATATAGAAATATAAACAATATTCTTCGTATCGTAGTCGTAGTGATTTATATATTTAGTTTAATTTTATTTTATGTTTCATGTTACAGTGTTTTTATGAAAATCTATATACATTTTCAAATGCATAACTTAGAACGAGAACCAAATTTTCAAGAATTGTTTTGCCTTGGTGGGGGAGTGACATGGAGCGTTATGGAAGGGGTGTGTGTGTGGCTAGATTGGGTTATAGAGATATTGAGATGTATGCAACAAATGATAACTAATAACATACAGTAAGACTAAATATCTTACGTAATTCTTGTCACAGCTCAACAAAGTATGCCAATTTAGTAATGCTTCGGGGTTGAAACATCATCGTTTGTTTCAGGTAACTTACTTGTAGACTTGATCATCCTCAAGGGTAAACAAAGTATGGCAATTGCGATCAAATACGTCAGAACATGCCTGTTTTTTTTATGTTTAAATCATTTTTGCTAAACAACTAACCAATTCTGCAAGTACCTGAATGTAAAGAAGGGGTTTTGAAACTGAAACATGTACTAAGTCGTCACGTTTCGTTGAGCTGGGACCAGAACTACGTAAGTAATTTTGTCTCATATTATCTCCAACAGCTAAGATGCTAGAAACATGGATTTTAATTGCATTTAAAGTCTAATCAGGCTCTTGCTAAATTATAATTTGGAGGTTTCAATGGGTATTACTTTTTTTAGTTTGGTAGTTTTTTTTGTGGTTTTAGAATTCAGTTATGAATATTTATGGAAAACTCGATTAAGGATTTTAATATCAGGATGCTTTATGAGCCTAATCATTTTTACAAGTTTTTTTTACATTATAATAACTTTAAGCTTTATCTTCTTGGTTACAAATTGATTTAAACCTAACATCTCTTCTGTAAGTTCTGTCCCAACAGTCTCTATTAGGAAGGAAATCGGTAACAAGTAGCTACTTTAACAATGAGTCATAGTTCTTGAGCATAATCAATCAAACATGAGAGACAAATTGATTGGAAATATGCCAGAATGTATTTAAGCCTTTTTTGATGAAAAACGGAATCTTGCAACAGAAGTAATTGCTGAATTTTGCTGAGCGTGGTAAAACGCAAATGTTGACTCAAATCAAACATGTTCTTTATGTGTCAAACATACGAGTTCACCAGAATTTCAACTCCCTTAAATTTTAACCCTACACTATTATAGATTAGATGAAAATCTGATATGAATAATCATTAAAATACCTTAATAATAAAATATTTTTCATTCTACAGTATAAACAATGTATAGTTTTAGTTAATGGAAACATGCTTAAAATACAATTTGATTCATAAACCTCCCTAATGAATAATATTTCAGAAAATGTTTTTCTTGCATACAATTTATTGGTCATCCATCTATATGTTTTAACCTTATATTTAAGACGATATTTTTTTAGTTTATTCATAATACAAAGTTTATGTAAAGTGTCCTGTCTACGTCATAATGTGAAAACTAAAAAGTCTCCCGTGAATGGAGAAAGGAACTACCCCAATTATAAACAAAAAAGGACGCGTTGCAGCACTTAACCCTTATTTTGGCAATAAATAACTAGGGATGGGTAAATTCTAAAGAAATCTGAAAACGATAATCATCACTCTTTAACCATCAATTTACCACGGCTTAGGAAGCGTGTACTTTTAGTAAAAGGGATTAGCTTGATCTAGCTAAATAAATAAGATTTAGTTACGAACTAGGCAATTTATATTGCAATGATGACCTAAACGGTGTATTTCTATTTCATAAGTGTTTTTATAAATGTAAACAAATAAATTATAATGCTGGATATTACACGGAAAGGGACTAAACTCGGCATTCCTAGAAAACTTTATCGTTTTATATTCTAAATAAAAAGTGGAAGTAGTTTTTCTTTTGCGTATCTTTGAAAGCATTAGGCTAATTACAACTTTCATATTCTTCAGAATCAAAGATTGGTCTATATACTAATACGTTGTTTTCAATTATTAAAAAAGATTTAAGAATTTCGGGTTTAAATTCAATGGTGGAAATGCATAAGTTCCATAGCTTTATGAAAAAAACCATACATCAATGTTTACGATTACTTATTGGAATTTACAGTTAAATAAAATAAATATGATTATTATAATGATAATAATTTTTGTGATAATGTTTACCTCACCGGTAAACTAAATAAATTTTATTTTTATATGACATTGAATATGTTTTTTTTTTTACGAAAAAACGTGCCTAAATTAACTCACAGTTTACCCTTTACATGTACTCAGTTGTAAAAAACAGGATTGTCTGGTGTGGGATTTTTCTTGGAAAGCAAATATTGGATGACGTTTGACAACTTTACTTCCAGGGTAGTTTATTTTTTATTTGCAGTTGGTATAAACACGTGTTTTTTTTTTCTTACTGTCAAAAGTATGCACGATTAATTTCTAAAAAATACCAGTTAAGCTAAAACTGCCTCTATATTTAAGTTTTATTGTAAGAAAAGCAACAAGGATGACGGTTTTGGCATTATTTTGTTGGAATTTAGCAGTTATACGAGTAGTTGTTATTAGTTACCATTTACTATCGTGAAGATATTAACTTTAGGGCTGCTTTATGTTTATGATAATGATTTTTATGTATCATAATGTCAATCAATAGAATAACTTATTAATGTTACTATTTTGCATGATTACAATTAAATATTCCAATAACAATACAATGGGAAACAATAGTGATACTATTTTTGTTTTCCAAATTGATACACAATTTATTGCACTTGAGAATTAAAGTTGTAAAATGTGTGCTATAATAACAAGTGATAAAATGGACAATAGTGATGTTTTTCTATACATATGAAGGTTATTTTTTCCCTAAATCTTACGTAGCTAAATAGTTTTACTGAGTTTAAAACAAATCTTTTCTGGGTAAATTCTACAAATTATATTGTTTATAAATTTAAATCATACCTAATATCTTAGTAAAAAATACTGTTTTGTACCTACAGTATTATATGTTTTCGTGAAATGGAGTAATTTAAAAGAAAGATTTTAAGCATGGAATCGAGTGAGGAAAGAATTATTGTCACAATCAAAAAGTGTTAAGAGATTGAAATTATCTCTTTAACTTACCACTAGGTTATTCTTATAGGTATAATTTTTATGATGATAACAGAACTAAATGAGATTAAACTCTTTTTATACTTTAAAGGTGCATACTGCATAGGCTCCTGACTTGTTTTATTGGTCATTAAGACTTTAGGAGTTTGCATTAGGAGTTAAATATGCGTTTTCATCTAATGTTCACTTATTGTGGTGTAAATCACGAAAATATGTTTCCATCTCAGTGTAGATTTGGCCTTTTCATAACTTGTCCTTGTAGGATAAATTTTATTTTTTGCAAAAAATTTAAACTAATTTTATTAGGGAATAAATATTTATAATATATGTTAGTGTAAAAGTTTCTCGACATTTAACTAAGATATCAAAATGTTATGATAAATCTACTTGCCCAATATTTTTAGGAGGCTGCGCATCTATTTCGTGGTACCTGCCTAGGAAACTCATACATACATATTACTTTAAAGAAAATCACTCTTATACTACACATTAGGGCAAACAAAACGACAAGGTCAATTATGAACAATCAAACGTGATACATTAAGTTCATTATAATGAAGTATTGAAATACAACACGAAGGCTTTAAAAATATTAACAATAAATATAAATACTATTCAGGAATAATAGTATCTGACATTGAACTGAAAAAAGACTACCAGCCAGCTAAAATCAACTCACTAACTGTACTGTTTACAAAATACTGAATTTAGCTAACTTTACTGTATAGGTTCAGACTTTAGTTTCACAAATTCAGAATACTTTTAATTGTAATATTTTACACTATTTCTGCATATAACTCTATAAATTACAACTTGAGATTAATAATCGCATGATAACAATATTTGATCGGTTTTGTCCCATAAATTTAGTTTACACTTTTCAATAGGCTTATAGTTTAGGTTTTCTATCTATTTATAGTCCGCATATCACTGTTTAGCATTACTTATTTCCCATAAACCTAGGTCTGTATTAGTTTGTATTGATTTTTATGATTATCTTAACTTGTTCATAGAATAAAATTATGTTTTAAAATCAGGTGTATGTGTTAGATAGGTGACTGTTTCAGAGTATCACGTCGTATTATACAGTTGCTTCTACATGGCGCGATTTCCATACAAATCTACTGTATTGTATCTAAGAACTGTATTCTATTATATACGGATACCTGCATTAGGTTATACATGTATGTACATGTAGGTTATACCATGTGTCAAAATTAAATTAATCTTTTTTTATTTTTATACATTAGTTGTAGAAAAATGTATAGATACGTTTCTATCCGTTAAAATGTTTATATTTGATCAATTTAGTTCTTCTTGTTCTGCTAGTCCCCTCAG